ACTCACAGTTCCACGTGGCTGGGGAGGCCTCACAATCATGACGGAAGGCAAGAAGGAGCAAGTCATATCTTAGGCGGACAGCGGCAGGCAGGGAGAGAGACAGCCTGTGCAGAGCACCTCCTGTTTTTTAAAACCATTAGATCTCGGGAGACCCATTTCACTATCACAGAACAGCAAGGGAAAGACCATGAGTCAACCATCTCCCATGGGGCTCCGCCCACAACATGTGGGAATTATGGGCTCCACAAGATGAGATTTGGGTGGAACAGCACAGCCCAAAGAAAGGAAAGTTTGACTAGCCATAAATGGGGCACAACCCACATTTCGGGGTCTTAGCTTCTCAGCCAATGCTCTGCACACAAATGCCCCAAATCCCCGTAAGCCCGCACCAGCAGCACACAGTGGGCCCAAAGCTGTCAGCACAGTAAAAAAGCATCAATAACTGGGAAAAGTCACACAAATATCAAACCGAAAGAGTTCCCTGACCAGGAATCAAACGCAGGCCGTGGCAGTGAAATCACAGAATTTGAACTGTTAGTCCACAAAGAACGGTGGCTTTTGTTACTCCCTTGGGCCATCTGAAGTAAGGAGTTTGAGCCTCCAACTTTGTTTTAGGTCAGATTTTTCTCTTTCATTTATTCTAAGTCTAGCCATGACACTATCATGTTTCCTTTTTAAAAAAGAAATTCAAGCACGCCATCCTTTTTGAACATGGAAGCCTCCGCAGTCTCTTATGGTGGCCGATCAGAGTCTGTGCTCTTAGAACTAGGCTTTCTATATTTTCCCTTTAGAACTAAGGTTCTAGCCTGGCACTCAGGTTCTCTGTAATTGCACTCACCTTAGGAAGGGCCCCTTTGAGTGTTTTTAGCAGGAGAGTCCTCATAAAACCTATGGACCAGCTGAGTCTGACTGGACTGGGAAGGTCCCCTCCTAAACCCAGAGCCAACAGAAACATTCCCTCTGGAGTCTGGCTAGAGGGAACCAGGACAGGGACTGGGAAGGAAACAGGAAGAAATAAGGAAAAGGGTGGAGAGAAATAAAAGCCTCTGAAGTCTTCAACCTAAAAGCAGGAGATCTCAGATCCGGGAGACCTCACCTGGCTTCCTCCCTGTGTCGCCAGCTGGGGAGACAGCTGAGCTGAAGAAGGTGCATTGACTTCCAGTCATGCTGGGAGAACCTGAGGCTCTCTGCAGATCTCTTCCTCATCACCAATCATGTCAAGTGAAGAATGACAAGGTCTGTATATTTGGAAAGGAGAATTTATTTCTCATAAGGAGTTCAGTCTGCAGGGTGGCCATTCTGACAGGCTGAGAAGTGTAGCCTCAGGCCGGAAGCCAGAAACAGACATTTCCACAGAGAGGAAAACGGAGCAGGAATTTATGCTCAGTAGAGTGGCTGAATGTACATATTTAATAAGCTATAGGAAGAGTTATGAAAGGAGAAACACACACATGAGCAATGGAGCTTTATGCTGTTATGTGTAGACCAGCCAGAACCACCCTGTGGTCAGAGATCTCTAATTAGGAAGGAATGCTGAGCAATTGTGTTGAAACCAAAAAAAGGGAGAAGCAGTGTCAGGTGCTTGATTGATATCTGGAGTCTTTTGAAAGGGCTCGTTTCTAATTAGCCCTTAGGGAAAAAAGTCTAATGGCAGCGACTGTGTGTGCAGGGGGTGGTGGTAATAAGGAGGAGTGTCTGATCCACCCATCCTGTGATGGATTAAAACTCAGTTTTCAAGGTTATTTTGTGGTCTGCTTGGCCAAGAGGGGGTCTGTTCAGCCAGTTGGGGGGCTTAGGGTTTCATTTTTTCTTTTCTTTTTTTTTAAGATGGGGTTTCACCATGATGGCCAGGCTTGTCTTGAACTCCTGACTTCAGGTGATCCACCCACCTCGGCCTCCCAAAGTGCTAGGATTACAGGCGTGAGCCACCGCGCCCAGCCTAGGGTTTCATTTTCATTTCCCAAATGCCGTTATAAAAAGAAGAGAGATGAGACCTTTCTCTCTACCTCATGAAGATACAGCGAGAAGGTGGCCATCTGCAAACCAGATAGAGACCCCTCACCTGACGTGAAATCTGCCAGCACTGTGCTCCTTTTCTTACCATTCCCAAAACTGCAAAAATAAATGTTTGCTGTTTAAGCAACTCAGTGTGCCACGTTTTGTTACAGCAGCTGGAACTGACTAAGACAGAGGGAATGCATTCAGTTGTTCACAGTTGAGTATAGTATTAATTTTAAGTTTTTTGTGGATGTTCTTTATCAAGTTAAGGAAGCTCCTCTCTAGTTTTACTTTTCTGAGTTTTTGGAAAAAAAATATGAGCAGATACTGAATTTTGTGAAATGCATTTTCCATATTGATTGATAGGATCATATGTTTTTTTCTTTGTCGGCCTGATAATGGTGGGTTACATGAATTGATTTTTAAATGTTGAACCCACCTCTACTCTCTGGTTACACCCTTCTCATTCATGGTGTACAGTTATTGTTATCTATTGCCGAAATCTATTTGCTAATATTTTGTTAAGGATTGTCGAATCTATAATAATGAGAAACACTAGGCTGTAGTCACCCTACCCCCCACCCTTTATTACTGAGTTTGTGTTGTTTTGGTATCAGGGTAATAATACTCGCCTCATAAAATGAATTAAGAAGTGTTGCTGCCTCTTCTGTTTTATGCAACAGATTGTGTGGCATTAGTGCTAATTCTTTAAGCATTTGGTGTAAATACCTTGTGACACTATCTGCACCGAAAGATATCTTTTTATGGTAGATTTTCAATTAAAAATTCAATTTCCTTAATAGCTGTAAGGGCTATTCAAATTATCTAGTTCATATTGCATACATTGTGATAGAGTGTATTTTTCAGAGAATCGGTCCATTTCACCTAAGCTGTAAAATCTGCGTGTGTGGAGTTGTTCACGGTGTTCCCTTATTAGCATTTTGATGTCTATAGGGTCAGTAGCGGTGTCTCCTCATTCATTCTTGATATGAGCGATTTGTGTCTTCTTGCTCTTTTTCTTTGTGACACTAATGTTTCATTTCCAGTGTTTATGCTTTTTGTTTCTTTTGTCTTATTGCACTGAAACTTTCAGTATGGGTTGAATAAGAGCAATGAGAAAGGACAACCTTGCTTTATTCTCAATCTTAGCTAGACTGAATGCTTACATAAAGCACTGGTTATAGGTTAGTTTTTTTTTTTTTTTTTTTTTTAATCAGTTTAGGGAAGTTCCCTTCTATTCTTAGGTAGGAAACCTAGGTAGGATTTGACTTTTCAGCCCCCTTCTAGGGAAGTAATAGGTGTCCCTTTCAGGACAGACACTTGATGGACAGTTTGAGGTCCCCTGGTACCTATGTTTTCCCTCTGGCAACACTACAGCTGGTGGCTATTTCATCACTTGAGTTACCAAGTGACCATGGGAAGTCAGCACTCCTGCAACCCACAAAGGAAGTTTCACATAAACAAGAAAGAACTCTTCGGTGTTTTCAGTCACTGGTTTATTCATTTAGTGTTTTAGGGTTCTTCCTAAAAGCAGCATAAGCTATTTGATGTTGAATGACATTCTTGGTGTGCAAAGTTTCCTTCATGAATGGAATATAATATTTTTTGAAACATATTTTAAACGTTAATTAAAGGTTCATATATGGTGCTTCTCCCCTTGTCTTAAGTTAGCTAATTTTATTAATGCATTTGAGATGGAGTCTCACTTTGTCACCCAGGCTGGAGTGCAGTGGTGCAGTCACAGCTCACTGCAATCTCTGCCTCCCAGGTTCCAGTGATTCTCCCACTCAGCCTCCCAAAGTGCTGGGATTACAGGTGTGAGTCACCGCACCTGACCTTTATTGATACATTCTCTAATATTGAAACATCCTTTGTTTTTTGGGCTAAATCATGATGTATTAAAATACATTTGTTCATAAGATATTCAGATATTTGTGTCTTGGTTCTGAAAGCTGGCGGCTATCAGAGTTTTCCTGCATCTCCCTTACCTGGTTTTGTTATCAGGGCGGCCGAGCAACTCCCCATCCTTTTCTATGACCTGGAGTGGATTGCATGAGCCAGGAGCTATCAGATAAAGGTTTTTTATTCTCATCCACAGGCAGAAGATCTGGAACTATTCTGTGTTTTTTCTATGATGATTGTTCTTTCTAAGTTTTCTTATACATTTTGAGCCAATATTGGTAATTGATATTTTACCAGACATGTATCCATGCCATCTATATTTTGAAAATTTAAAGTTGTACATGTCAGTTATTGACAAATCTATTTCTGTTGTTGTATATTCTTTTTCCTTTTGTGACGTTCAGAATATGTTATCATGAAAAACAAGTTCCTTTCCCACATGTGACCTCTTCTGTTGAGTTCCTCAGTCCAGGGAAACCTCTTTGCTTCACATTAGTCCAGAAGAGATCAATGGCATTTGTGAGCAGCTGAAGATGGACAGCAGAGGTCTTTCTGGTAGCAACTTCCCTTATGCTCCTGGGGGATGCCCCGGAGGTCATGGGGTTTGCATTTTTTAAATAGTGCAGAATTTGATTTGTAAGTAACTCATTTAAATTGTTATATCAATATTCATTCAATGAATGGGTCTGTGATTTTTCATATTTTGTGCTTTCTGTGGCTTGGACCTCCAACATGAATGGCAAGCTCTGGCCACGTCAGCAGCACGCTCATCTAGTTCCTGAAGATTCTAAAGCCCCTGTGATGTGTCTTCATCCCCAAATATGATGGGACCTACAATGCAGAAACCATGAACTCAGCTCCCTCAGCCCCCAGTCCCCGTGCCCCCAGGCCCTGAGTCCCCCAGCCTGGGAACCACCCAATCCCTGAGCCCCCCAGTCCCCGAGCCTCCCAGCCCTCAAGTTCCCCAGACTCTAAGCCCCGCAACCTCTGAGTTTCCCAGCCCCCAAATCCCCCAGCCCCCAAGTCCCCCAAACCCCCAGCCAGCCCTCAGCTGCATCCACAGGCACCAGTCAGGACAGAGTCAGGGGAGGGGGTTCACTAGTTTATTTATTGCTCAAAAGGGATGGCTGAGAACAGAAACCCCAGGCTGAGGCCGGGAAGTCCCAGGGTCCCAGGAAATGCTCCTTGGTCTTCAGCCTCATGGTCCCTCCGGAGGGGTGACGTCCTCTTCCTCTGCACAGGGGTTGAGGCTCCGGGACCTGATGTGTACAAAGGGGGGTCGCCTGTGACTCTGGGACCCTACAGGATATGGGGCGGCCCATATCAGCTGGGGGTGAGGGACCCCTGCTTGTGTGAGGGGAGCCCCTACCTTACCCCCTGCCTTCTGTTCCCGTGAGGGGCTGTCGGGACACCACCACAGGCCCGCCCTCCCCTGAGCCCCCCTCCCTCAGTCACCCCCACCCTGGATGAAAGGGGCCCAGCCTGTGCCCAAGACACAGGAAATGGCATCTGGAGAGGCCAAGCCTAGAGACTCGGGCACGTGGCCAGCTGGGCTTTTCCAGAGACCCCAGGATTCCAGCCTCGCTCAGGGTCAGCCCTGGGGAATGGACACAGTGGGGTCTGTCCCAGGGTCGGCCCCAGGCCGTGTGTGGGGCTGGTACATTACCCAGGAGGCAGGACTGGGCAGGAGCTCTCCTAGACACAGCACCGCTCTGCGGGAGGAGAGACAGCAGTGGGGGCGTCAGTGGGAGGGAGACTTAGCTGGGGACACAGCAGCCCCAGGGCCAGAGGTTGTGGGGTGACAGGAGGAGATGGGAGCCCACCTCAGGGTGCCTCTGCACCCCCAGGGGAGGCGTGGGGAGAATTGGAGAGAGGCCATTGAGGTGGGACGGGTGCTACCCTGAGTGCTACAGAGCCCTTGGGGGGCTTGGGTTGGGACAGCTGCGGCCTCTCCTCCAGCCAAGGCTGGGCCTGTCCTGGGCGGAGCTCACCTTCTGCCTGGGTCACGTCCAGGAAGACCCGCATGTGCATGGGCAGGGTCTTGAGAAAGTGGATAAATTCCTCCATGACATTGTCATCCGCCTCCAGGGTCCTGGCTGTGGGGAGGCTGGCTCAGTCCTGGGCCCCGCCCCGGGGGAAGGAGGGCGGGGAAGGAGGCCCCAGTGCTCTGAGGTTGGGCAGAGTTTGTTCTGGAGCAGGTCCTCAGACTGGTCTCCAGGGCTTTGGCCACCTGGCCTGCAGGTTCCCTGTCCCCAGGCCCCACTCCTTGGCTGGGTCGGCTCCTCCTCTGTGCCAGGCAGCACTGGGGCCCGCACAGCTCAGGACGGTGTCCACAGGGTCAAGGAGGAGAGCACAGTGCCGGCCTCCCCCACAGTGCTGGCCTCACCTCCCACGGCCCAGGATGGCCAATTTATAGAGCGGGGGCATCTCTACAGCCCAAAGCCATTGGTCCATTCAGGGACCCTGGGACCTCCCAGCAGCACTGCTGGTGTGACATGAAAAATGTCACCGTACGTTTGTTTTCCAGACGTGATTGTTTGAAAGACATTTTAGAATCTGACTGCTTACTTGGCAAAGTGATTGCACATCTCCACTGAGGAAGGACATTGGATTTACAGGCACCTGCTGACCACACGGGGAGGTCTAACACCTGCCCTTGCGGCCGCCCTGCAGGGACATCTGCTTTCCCGTGTCCACCATGGTCTCTGCCGTCCTCGGGGCCTGTGTCTGTCCCCAGGTCTCTGTGCAGTGCCCCCCTTGTTTCTCATGCGACACTAGGATGCCTCTACCCTCCCCCTTCCTCCACGGGGCTCCTGGGCTCCTAGGGAAGGCAATCCCAGGGGCTGGGGCAGGGCCGGGGTGACGGCTCCCTCAGGGGCCCGCCTTCCATTCCCATGAGGAGTGGTCGGGACGTCTCATTCTGTGTCCATTTCCCACAGGAACCCCAGGGACTGAGGCACGAACCCAGGTACTGGCAGGCCAGGTTCTGCTGGGAGGTGCTCTCCAGACAGACAAACAGGTATTTGCTGTAGTCGGTGTTGAACAGGAAGATCCTGTTCTCATCCAGATCTAGAAGAGAACAAGACAGGAGCAGAAATGAATTCTGGGCACCTCACCACAGCGGGACTGGGTGCTGGTCCGTCTCCTGTGGTTCAGCTGGACTTCCCATGAGCCGCGATGCCTGGCGTCTCCCTCCATTTCTCTCCCACCACACTCCAGGCCGTGTGCAGCTGGGAGCCTTGGGAGTGTCCTTCAGGCCGGTCTACCCCCGTACCCGGCGTGGTGTGACCTCCTTTCAGGGAGCTCCCAGCACAGCTCACAGGTAACACCAAGGCACAAACAGGGCTGGGAGAGGCCTGGCTGTTGACTGTGACCCTCCACAGAGACCCGCACTGTCCCACACTGTCCCCTGGCTCCAGATTCCCCCCTCATCATCATGCCTGGGCAAGCCACTCCAAACACCGTGCCCCAGTGAGGGTAAGAAACGGGGTCTCCACTCGGAGGGGTGAGACTGACACCAAGCTGTGGCAGCGAAGGCTGGTCCAGAGAGACCACACATGCCGCAGCAGCGGGGAAGCCAAGACCCTCAGGCCGGGCGAGCTAGGTGGGCTCTGCCCACTCAGCCTAGCAGCACCGCTGGACACGGCTGTGTCACCAGGGTGACTTCTATGGGAAATACTGATGTCCCTGCCCAGCTGTAAGCAGGGGTGCCGGAAACTCCGGGTGGGTGCCTTGGCACGGGTGTCCTTCCAACATGCAGTGTGCAGCCGTGGAGGGAAGTCACACGGAGGGGACCATGGGGGCACTGGAAGGCAGGATGTGGCTCATGGGGAGCTCCCTTCTCCAGGCTGGGGAGGGGAGGCCAGGGAAAAAGAGCCCTCATGGCTCCCTGGAGTCTTGCGTGCAGCCATGAACGAACAGAGAGTCAAGGAGATGAGTACGGTCCGGTGGCCACAGGGGCCCTGACTCTCAGCTGTCGGCCAGGGGGTGCAGTCAAGAGCATGGGCAGGGTGCAGGGAGGGTGGGAACAGGCTGGTGGCTAAGGTGCACCACTGCTGCCTGAGCTCAGCCCAAGTGACCCAGTGTCACTGCAGGGAGTTAGACCAGCCCAGAGGGGACCTGGAGGCAGTGCTGCTGCTCCCTGACACTGCTGTCACCTTCATCATCAGCCTGTGCCTTAGCACAGCCAGGCCAGAGGCCCGGCCCCCGCCCCATCCCTCAAGAAGCTGGATGGGGTCCCCAAGCTACCGGGGCCGTGGCTGGTGCTTACAGTTGATCTTGAACTCGATAGGGTTCTCAGTCTTCTCTGCGACGATCTTCTTCTTAACACACTGGTCGTTTTCCCTGAAAGGGCATCATTTCTGTGACCTGTTGTACAGATGCTACGGGGCCACATGCTGGCCCTGGAGAGGCAGGCAAGGGCCAGGCACTGAGGACTGGGGAGAGAGGGGCTTCCAGGCCACGAGTGCTGGTCACGGGACAAACGCTGCCCTCAGGGAACCCACAACATGTGGCTGGGGACCCAGCTGGAGAGGCCAGAGGGAACCAGCGAAGTCAGGGGCCGTGATCGTGGGCAGCAGTGGTCCTGGGGTTCATGTCCTCATCTCCTGCCCACCCCTGGTTCCAGGGCAGCAGTCATTGCAGGAACTGTCTGGGTCCCGGAGACCACAGACCACAGCAGCCCCAGCCCAGCCTCCACACCAGTCTTCTCCGAAGATGGCCTGGGCTGCGTGACGTGGTCAGCTGCTGACCCAAGACCCTTGGGCAGGGGCTCTGCAGGGACAGGCAACCTCCCAAGCTTCTTTCCCCACCCTACTTGGCACCACAGGGGTCCACACTGAAGCCCCTGGGTCGTCAGGAAATGCCTGGGGCTGGCCCCAGATCTGCCCACCCTACACAGTCCCCCTGCTGAGGGAGAGAGAGCCCCTGCCGGCCCCAGCCCAGAAGATGAGGAACCCACCGTTTTTGCAGGCTGATCTCCAGGTTGCCCTCGGGGGTGGGCTGCAGTGAGGTGATGTAGACCCTCAGAGGGGCCTCCTTGGACTCCAGGAGGGAGAAGTCACTGGCCCCCATGGCCATGGAGTGCCAGGTCCCTGCCAACTGAGGGGCCTTGAGCTGCACAGGGGACCCTGGCCACCATGGCTCCCACTGTGCCCTGGGCAGGTGAGGCTGAGTCCTGCCTGTCCCCAACCCCCTTGGGTTGGTGCAGGAGTTGAGCTGAGCTCCTCAAGCACCCATGTGGCCTGATGCCATGGAGGGGGCCTCCCCCAGCCATGGACCCCACTCTGCTGCTCCAGGAATGTTCCCGCTAAACACATGGGAGCCCAAAAAAGCACCTGGCTGAGCCCATGACCTGAGTGAGGGGAATATTTGGATCCTGGGAGCCATGTGGTTGGGGCAGGAGGAAGGGTGGGGGGCAGAGAGGCCCTGCTGGGACTGAACTGTGCCCCCCAGCAGCACCTGACTGCAGCGCCTCCAAATGTGAGCTAGGGTGGTTAAGGAATGAGGAAGCTGGAGTGAGGCCTCTGGGGGCCCTGACCCAATCTGACGGGCATCTTTAGGAGGGGAGGCTAGGAACAGACCCCCAGAGGGGCGGCCCTGTGAGGACACAGTGGGAAGATGGTGTCTACAAGGCAAGGAGAGGAGCCTGGGAGCTCCGGCCCTGCCGACACCCTGGTCCTGCACCTCCAGCCCTCAGGACGGCGAGCATCAGCCCCGCTGTTTGGGCTGCAGCCTGCGGGAGGCCAGCCCTGACATCACAGAGACCTTGACATCACAGCCTCCTCCATCCACCCTCAGCCTCCTGGGTCCTGGGCTTCCCACCCTCCCGCAGCCCCCACCAGCCCAGACCTCCCTGGTAACTCGCCCCCTCTCCCCGCTTCAAACCTTTGGGACCTCCACGTCCTGCATGGCCTGGGGGCTGTCGATAGCCCCAACAGCACAGACCAGGGCGACGGCCAGGGTGAACAGGAGGCACTGCATGGCTGCGGCTATGGGTGGCTCGGAGCTCTGGAGCAAGAGGGAGGCCGAGGCAGTGGGCTACGGGGCTTATGTAGGAGAAGGACTCCTTGAACCCATGACTCATCCTCAGCCTGCGGGCAGCTTCCTCCACTGGGACAATGGGAGGCTCTTCTCTGTGTCCTCCTCTGTGTCTGGGACACCCAGTTCCTGGCAGGGCCTCAGGTGGGAGGGTCCGGGTTGGCAGCCAGTGGCAGGAGCACCTCCTGGGTCGGGGTTCTTGGAAAATGGTGGATTGGAGGCCAGCACTGAGGACAGCCGTTCCCGGGGGCAGTGGTAGGGCCAGTGGGGCAGGCAGCAGGCCCTAGAGCCCCATGGCAGCCCTGGGATGCCACAGACATCATGCCGGCGAGCAGCTGTCTGCCCCACAAAGAGGCCATAAGGCTGCACCCTTAACACTCCCGGCTGGGGCTCTTCCCACAGGTGCCCATCCACGCAGGGGCTGCCCGCTGGGCTCGGCTAGGCAAGGCCTCCGTGAAAGGCTCTGCTGTTTCCTGATCACCGTCATGTTTCTGTTTTCTTCTCCTGCCTCAGATCAGCTCCTCCCAAATCCTCGGCTGCTGCCTTGCGGGGACGGTGTCTCCTTCCCTGTTCAGTGGCCTCCACCTGGGACGGGCGTGGGTGGAACCAGGCTGAGGGAGGCACTAAGGACTGTGGTGTGTGATGCTCTTGGCCTCAAGTTTTTGCAGTGAAGTGCCAAGCAACAACAGTGACGGTGACCCAGCGGTGATGGTGACCCAGTGGTGACAGTGACCCAGTGGTGGTGGTGGTCCAAACCAGGATGCCCAATGGCCTGGCCTGTGGCTTCAACCCTGGGTGAGGCACACAGCAGGGGCAGTGTGGGCAGCAGATCCAGCGTGCTCTGTGTGGATGGCGTGGTGGGTCATGGCTGCAGCGCCGGAATTTTAAGTCTTCTTAAAATTCTGGTTCCAGGCGCTTCTGTACCACTCAGCTTTGCAGCCAGGGCCGTCAGGAACTCAGGAGCGCAGGCGACCTGGAGGATGTGTCCTGTTAGGTTTGGGAGGATGAAGCAACTTGTAGAGTAATGTGTCTTTTGCGATTCCATGTGTGCAAACCAACACCCACAGGGGAGTGTGTGTGTGCCCATGTGTGTCCCTGTGTGTGCACTTGTGTGTGTGCCCGTGTGTGCACCTGTGTGTATGTTCCCGTGTGTACGTGTGTGTGCCCATGTGTGTACATGTGTGTGTGCCTGTGTGTGTACCTGTGTGTGTGCCTGCGTATGGGTACCTGTGTGTGTGTGCACATGCATGTGCCCAGGTGCATGTGCCTGTGTGCTAGTGTGTGTGCCTGTGTGCAGGTGTGTGTGTCTGTGGGCATGTGCCTGTGTGTGTGCGTGCCCATGTGGTGCCTATGTGTGCCCATGTGCATGGGCCTGTGTGCTAGTGTGCATGGGCCTGTGTGTATGCCTGTGCGCCTGCCTGTGCGCCTGTGTGCATGTGCCTGTGTGCATGTGCCCATGTGCCTTTGTGTGTGTGCCTGTGTGCTTGTGTGCCTCTGTGTGTGCATGTGTGCACATGTACCCATGTGCCTGTTTGTATGTGTGTGTGCCTGTGTGCATGTGTACCTGTGCCCATGTGCGTGTGTGTGCCTGTGTGCAGCAGGCACAATCCTTGGAGCTTTCCATTCCAAACAATGGACTTGCTCATCTCTGGGGAGGGCCGACATCGGGGTGGGGGTTGGTGCAGGCAGCCACCTCCCGTGTGTCCTAAGAGGGGAACAGCCTCCTTTCCACGGAGCCTTGGGGGATCTGCCCTGTCCCCACCCAGGGTCATGTATGGTCTTTCCGGGTGGCCTGCAGCCTGTGCTCGGGGCCCTGCCTACCTGTGTGCCATGTTCAGCATCTGGGATCGATGTGGGGAGGTCTCCTAGATGAGCTTCTGTTTGCCAGCTGTCCTCTGGTTTTTTTTTTTTTTGTTTCTTTTTTTTGAGACGGAGTTGCGCTCTTGTTACCCAGGCTGGAGTGCAATGGCGTGATCTTGGCTCACCGCAACCTCCGCCTCCTGGGTTCAGGCAATTCTCCTGCCTCAACCTCCTGAGTAGCTGGGATTACAGGCACGCGCCACCATGCCCAGCTAATTTTTTGTATTTTTTTAGTAGAGATGGGGTTTCACCATGTTGACCAGGATGGTCTCGATCTCTTGACCTCGTGATCCTCCCGCCTGGGCCTCCCAAAGTGTTGGGATTACAGGCGTGAGCCACCGCACCCAGCCCCTCTGGTTTATTTCCAAAGGACCTCGTTTATTATCACACCACAGGACAGCCTACAGGTCCAAGGCTGGCCCCAAGCCTCCTTCCAAGGGTGGGGGCAGCAAGAGAAGGAGGTGGCTCAGGTGGCCCCAGTCCTTGCCCAGGGAACCTCCTGAGCTGTGGTCCTGCTGCCGGCAGCTATGCACCGCGATGCCTCCAGAGGGACGCGACCACGGTCTGCTCTCCCTGGGGCAGGTGCTTCCCAGAACCCTGGTCACCCCACTGGAGGGAGGTGCTTGCCTGTGGATCGCAGGTCCTGCTTCTGTGGGCACTTTGTGGGAACGGAAGCAAAGAGGGCTGAAACAGGAAGGGAAATGGATTATTCAACGTTCCCTTCGTTATTATTCAATGTGACCTGGAGGAGGCTTTGACAAAGTACATGCCCTGGCCTCTGCCACTATGCCCAGACCTGCTGCCAGCCTCACCTGCGCTATCTCCTTGAATTCTTGCAACAGTCCTCTAAGTTCAGTCTCCCTAGTTTCCCATCTTAAGGGTGAGGAAATGGCCATGAACACGGTTGAATCATGCTGAAAACCCACATCCACCCAGAACCTCAGAATGTGACCTTACTTGGAAGTGGGACTTTGCAGGTGGATTTGTAAGATGAGGCCATTCTGCAATGGGGTGGGCCCTACTGCCAATACAGATGGTGTCCCTGTAAGTAGAGGAGAGGACACACACACAGACACACAGACACAGAGACACACAGACACATACACAGACACTCACAGAGAAACACACACAGACACACAGACACAGAGACACACAGACACATACACAGACACAGAGAGACACACAGAGAGACACACACACAGACACACAGACACACACACAGACACACAGACACAGAGACACACAGACACACAGACACAGAGAGACACAGACACAGACACACAGACACAGACACACAGACACATACACAGACACTCACAGAGAGACACACACACAGACACACAGACACAGAGACACACAGACACATACACAGACACTCACAGAGAGACACACACACAGACACACAGACACAGAGACACACAGACACATACACAGACACCGAGAGATACACACACAGACACACAGACACAGAGACACACAGACACATACAAAGACACTCACAGAGAGACACACACACAGACACACTGACACATACACACAGACACATACACAGACACTCACAGAGAGACACACACAGACACAGAGACACACAGACACAGAAACACGCAGACACATACACAGACACTCACAGAGAGACACACACACAGACACATACACACAGACACATACACAGACACTCACAGAGAGACACACACAGACACAGAGACACGCAGACACAGAGACACACAGACACATACACAGACACTCAGAGAGACATACACGCAGACACACAGACACATACACACTCACAGAGAGACACACACAGACACAGAGACACACAGACACATACACAGACACAGAGAGACACACACACAGACATACAGACACACAGACACACACTCACAGAGAGACACATACACAGACACACACTCACAGAGAGACACACACACAGACACATAGAGACACACACAGACACAGAGACACACAGAACATAGAGACACACACACACAGACACAGAGACATACAGACACATAGAGACACACACACAGACACAGAGACACACAGACACATACACAGACACTCACAGAGAGACACACACACAGACACACAGACACAGAGACACACACACACATACAGACACATACACAGACATGCACAGACACAGAGACACACACACAGATAGACACACACACAGACACCCACACAGACACAGGGACACACAGACACACACATAGACACACACACACACAGATACACCCAGACACATACACACAGATACACCCAGACACAAACAAGGAAGAGACCATGTGAAGACAGAGACAGGGACTGGGGTCTGGACCCCCAGCCCAGGACCGCTGAGCCAGCAGAGGATGAGGAAGGAGCCTCCCTAGACCCTGGTGGGACCACGGCCTTGCCCACACCTCCGTCTTGGACTTCCGGCCTCCAGAGCTGGGAGACGGTCAGTCCTGTGGTTGGGAGCTGCACAGTGTTTGGTACTTTGTCAGGTGGCCCCAGGACCCTGGCACAGGCAGCTTAGACAGGTGACATGGTGACCCAGGTGTTATGGGTCAGGCAGGGCTTGGCTTTTAGAGCAGGGGCAGGCCAGTAAAGGAGGTCAGCCAGGAGGAAACAAAGTGTCCTATTTTCCACTGAGCTTGGGGTGTGCTGGGTCCCAAGCCAGGCTTGGTGGCGTCTTTCCCGCAGGTTCTCAGAGGCCCCGGCACGTTCCTGGGAAGGCTGGAGCACCCAGGAACATGCCGGGCACCCCTTGTCAACATTTCTAGGAATAGTGTTCCATAGAAAACCATTTAAAAAGGAAGAAAAGCAACAGCTGGCCTCAGGCAGTTGGCCTTGCCCAGCTGGGGAGGGAGACTGAGGCCGGGAGGAGGCAACTCCACCAGGTGACTGACCCCGGGGAGGACTCTGGGAAGAGACCCCAGCCCCTCAGCCCGAGGCCTGGGCCCCGCATGCACTAAGTCCCCACGCCTCTCAGCAGGACGAGCTTGGGAGCCAGCCTGTCACTGCAGAAGCAGAACACTGCTTTTCTTTTCTTTTTCTTTTTTTTTTTCTTGAGACAGGGTCTGTCACCCAGGCTGGAGTGTAGT